TTTACAGAGCAATGATATGTTTTTGAATTATGAAAAAGGCTAATTTCAATAGTCAATTTATAATTAAATGGGTCAAAAGACTTGTTCTAAGTATTTAAAATATGGCTTTGAGGACAAAATATTTGTTTTCAAACTAGCTCTCTGTTTAACAAATGTCTGTTTAGATCTAAACTTTGAAAACATGCACAAAAGTCTTGGTAAAACTTGCAATTTTTGTTGACAGAAGAGGGCACTCAACAACAATTTGAATTAGGCTTCTTCATTTTGCTACATTGGAAAACTTAGTGTTTAACAAGTTTTGCAGTTGTCTAGTCTTTGAATTGTTTATGTAAAGTGTCAGTTCAAAAGGAGTATATATGCTAGCATATATTCTAGGAATAAATAGGAATTTTGCCTTCTGCTGATGTAGTTAAACTAAAATGCATTGGATGGGAGTCTTTTTTTCCTTTTTCTACTAGTGGAATGTATGTTCTCTTTTTACTGCTTAGGAGCAGGCAAAAACTTGCCAAAAAGTACTCGCTAATGGAAAACTTTTGAAAATCATTTTTAAAAAGTAATTTTATTTTTATATTATTGTATATGTTTCTTCCACCTACCTTATTTTTTTTATTTCAATAACTAAGGACATTTGAATTAAATGGGATGTTCCCAACAAAATTCTCTTGCTCCTTTTTTCATTCGAATGGTTAGTTTCTTTGTCTTGTAGTGAAGACTGAGAAAAGAGTGATATAAGGTGAATGAGCATTAAGATCTTTTAGCCAAACAGTGTTTTCTGCCTGCTCCAAATTTACTATGAGAGCTTTCCCTTTTCCTAGTTGCTTAGCAGCTTTTTTGCTTTCTTCTTTCTTTTTGCTCACTGACGTTCATTTTTTGTTCAGCCAAAACTAATCTTGACTCCCTGTCATTTCTGCCTTTCTCTCAGGCTTCTTTTCCTGCAACCATGTAGACAAAAGAAAAAATATCTTCTTCCAGGATGGGGGGAGAAAAAGAGACTAATTCTGGGTTTTATGCCCCTCTGCCCTTTTTAGTTTCAAAGCAGATGAATGTGGACTTACGAAGCCTCCATTGATACATCTGAATTGGTCATTTTAGAGCTCCTATGTCATGATTTTAACATTTTTTCATTAATAGCTTCTGTAAATTAATATGCTGGAGTAGTATAGAGACTAGCCCCTTCCAAATTTGGGCTATCTGATTTTGATCTGGTGGTTTATAAATACAAACATAGTTTAAAAACAATCTAACATTTTGAATACAGCAGCTGTTGAGATACTCTGGAAAAAATTAGAGGGAAATTAATTTTTAGAAGGGCTTTTTCGCAGCCACCATCATTAACAGGCTTTCTTTGTGAGCTAATGGAACTGCTAGATGGAAAAAAATGTGCACATGGAATGCAAGTTCATTTCAGTGAAATAAAAATCAGTGACTCTGTCTACACTATAGAATTATTAGGTTTCCTGCACCAAGTACAAGTGCCTGGAATCCTTATAAAACACTGCCCACACACAGTGTTTCTAATGTTAGTGTTTTATTGTGAGTACTCTAGCTACAAGCAAGTCTTGCAAATGCCTCCAGCTGTATGTGTTTATTTCAAATCATTCTGGTGCTTATGTGGATCGGAACTATGTGTGTTACAGCTGCACTAGTTCAATTGGTCTTTCCAGAGCAGGATACTTTCTGGGGTACTCTGGCTCACCATTCAGTGGACATCGTGGACCAGAATCCTCTTAATTTGTGCTTCCTCTGAAGGGCTTTCACAGGAACATTCTCCAGAAGTCTCTGACTTGGTTATGATGCCCTATCCTCATCTCAGGTAGCAATATCATGCACCTTGTCCCCAGCATCCATGTAAGTACGGTTGCTGTGTTCTTGTACAAGCTACTCGCTATTTTGTGATTTGAAGTCATGCCTTCTGCAGTCCAGCTGTTCTAGTGTCATGGTGTCAGCTTGCCCAGTATAGACATCAGGGCTCTTCTAAAGACCTGGTGTAATGAGATAATGAAGTCTAAACTGAACTCCATGACCTAGTTTGTTGAACAGTGTCTCAGTGTTGGCTGAGCTTAGCATAAATCGGAATATTAAGCAGTGTTGGGTGCAAAATTAAGAGCAATATAATAAGTCTGTCAAAAATCACTACAGAACAAGCGCTGGATCTCATCCAGTGCCATCATGGTCTTTAGATCTTGTTCTCTGCCACACCTCATGCTCTGTTCAAACTCACTTCACCATCTCAGTACAGTACCTGATGGAAAAAGTCATCTCACTTTCTCTGGGAAGCATTCCATTTGGATAAGTGGAGGGAAAGGTGCTGATTCTTAGGGATACAATTCCCAGAACAAACTTGGCCCTAGAATACTTTGTATGTTCTCCAACAAATCCTCACTCCCAAGGTGGTGTTCTTGGAACCAATGGAAAGGTGTTGTGACAGATTTATAATGCACTGAATAGAAATATTTGTATGTTTAGTCATGTATGTGGGCCTTGGAAATGTTAGTAATCTTGAAAATTGTGTAGTCACAAACAATGAGAAAAGGGGGAAAACTGAAAACTCATGAAATGATAAACGGGGTATAAAAATAAATTCCAACGTACTGCTTTTAAAAACTATTTGGCATAGGAAAAGTAGGCTGCAATCATACCGAATCATAGGCGATCTAAGTGTTTCAAGTTTATAGTCCTGAAGGAAAGACCCAGATTCAGTTACTTTCATGGAAAAGTTTTTTTTTTTTTAATTAAGCTACATGAACTAAACCTTAAGAATAATTCTATGTATGGTGAGCACTCTCACAGAAGTCAGGAAGAACAACCAGAGTATTGAACCAGGAACATAAATTGTGAATGTAACAGATCACAGAGATAATTATGAAATTTTTACAGCAGAAAGACTTGAAGTTTAAAGGATAGAAAAATTTCCTTTTCCCAGTGTGGGCCTCTACACTCACGAGGAGAGGAGAGAGAGCTAACCCCAAGATCAGGTTTCCCAGACCTAGATCGGTCACCATTTTGTACCCAGCAAAGTGAATGTTTTGTATTCTGGGACAAAGTCTGCACAAAAAATATGTGGGAGGGTTGTGGGAGGTGATGGTAGTGGTGGGATGGTAAAATAAAATAGATACTGCAGAAGAGAACCAAAATTATTTGGAGTGAATCATGTTGTGTCAAATGTAAGGGAACCTCTTTTGTTTTACTATGCACTGGGTGGTGCAGGCCACACAAGATATTGTGCTGAAATCCTTACGTGTCATGGAGCAGTAGTCTGAGATGGTTCTTTCTGAAGCGGTGTTGTAGGATGGGCATTGGCATGGCTAGTTCACTTGCAACTATAGAACTGACCTCAGTTGCTGCACAGGCAGCATTACAGATCCTGCGGACATAAGGGTTTCTGCCCCTATAGAGATCCCCTTGCAAAAAACTGTTTGTTCAGGCTTTGCACAGAAAACTAGAATTTGACACTTATTGCTAAATCTAAAAAATATTGGTGATTTTATAAACTGTTGTTGATTCTTTGAGAATAGCTTAACTAGTTTAATGTGGTTCAGAAAAAGCAATATGTAATGTTTAAACAAAAAACCTTTCCTGGTGATACTTACTTTAGTTTTTAATGCTTAATTGTCACATGTGGTAAAATTAATATAGTTCTGACAAGACCATTTAGTTGATTGGCATGCTTAGCCCCTAAATAATGGAGGATGTAATATGTGTAACAAAGTTTCTTTCTTCAAATTTACTTCAAAGGCACTAGATACTTGCACTGATAAAATTTAAAGGATGAAAATCGAATTCAAACCAGTCCCAATTCACAGAATGTATATTGTTCAGTTACTTATATCTGTGTTTCTGGAATGCTTGCATAATAAGACTTGTTACCTCTACTTTCATCTTGTGTTTGGAGTAAACTTTGTTCTCTAATCTCACTCTAAATGAAATCAGTAAGGGACATAAATGTTAGCTAACTGCTGTATTAAACAAAGAGTGCCTAGCGGTTAGAACATGGGGGGAGGAGCAGTAGACCCTAGGTCATCTTCTGCCTCTGATGCTAACTTGCTAAGTGGTCTTGGATAAAGGCACTAAACTTCTCCGTGCCTCAGTTTCTCCTTCTGTAAAAGGAGGTTTACACTTGCAAACCTGACAGGGATATTGTAAGGCTGAATTCATGTTTGTGAAGTGCTTTAAGGTCCACAGAGGGAATGCATTAGAAATGATGCAGTAGGCAATTCTAGAGGCGCTTAAAATAATATATTTGTATTATGAATGTTGCAGAAATAAAAGCAATTAAGTTTTTGATTTTTTTTGTAAATGGCAGCAGACTTCATGAAATTTGCTACTGTGGACAGATTTCATCGCTTAAATAAAAACACTGATAAAAGACAAATTACTAGGTTTTCTCTGCTCTTAGATTCACATGATGGATTTCTTCTTCTGCTCTTCCTACAGTACATGCATATATCTGCCTTTGACATCAGTGAAGCATGGGTAGTGTGTACAGTAAGTAGAGAGTGCAGAATATCAGTCGAGCTCTCCTATGATGATCTGAGAGCAGAATTTTGCTCTGAAATGATGATCTGAGAGCAGAATTTTGCTCTGAAATTGTTTGCTCATGAGTTGAACCCAGTATGCAAAGTTTCCTTATCATGTAGATCTTTACATGTGAGTTGTAGTGCTAAACACTTAAAAGTTTAATGTAATAAGCCATTCTGAGGTGGTTTACTTTCTACTGGTCTGTTGGTGTAAACCTATGAAAAATAGTGATTTATTATGGAAATGTTTCTACAACTGTAATAAAGATGGTTAACAGTAATGCTTTATTAAAAGCCAAGTTATTAGAAGCTGGTTTATTGTATAAATGATTATCACACAACCACACTTCATTTTATTTTCCTGATTTGTTATAGTATACATGTTAAATGAAATCACAGCATGATTTATATGAACTGATCTTGCATTTTTGTGAGAGATAATTGAGATCTAATCTGAATCCCTGACGAACCACAGCTTCCTGCAGTGGTCTGTTGCTATGGGTAACATAAAGGGAGTAAAATAGAACTTCATATGAAATGCCTTTAAACTTTACAGGCATGTACAGACACGGAATAGGGCTGAATCGTATATTTTAATCTTTGAGAAGCTGATGGGTCAAGGAATTTTAATTTCTATCTTAAGGGAAGATGAATTTAGGAAGAGTATTGTTAGCAAAAATAACTGCTGTTTCTTTTGAAGAGCGGGTAAGTGATATGAATTATATTTAGCCAACACAAGGCAGTGTTGCAGTGAAAATTAGAGGAGAGTATTATAATCAGCTTCAGAGTTATTGCATTTTTTGGCTTAGTTTTCGTCTCTTCTACATTAAAACAATGTTAGATCAGAAACTTTTGGAATAATATGTGATTTTTCTTTAAAGCAAACTATGATTGGCATATATTTTATTTTTCCGTCATAGCTACCTATGTTAAGGAAATTGTGTATAGAGAGCCTGACCATATAACCTAACATTCAGATTTACTCTGAAATTTAATTGAAAAATTTAATTGTGGCTAATATTTACAAATTCAGCTGTTCGGAATATATACCTACTTATTAATGTATGTGCAGTATGTATTACAGATATATTTTCTTTATCACACATTGTACAATATTTTATTGGTATTTTGGTTTTTAATCACAATCATTTTAAGAATGGATTTTGTTTTTAGCCATTTGATTTAAATGTTATTTGTTTTTGTTCATGCAAAAAAGTTGTTTTAATAGGAACACCTAGCTCGTAGAGGAATTCTGAATGTGGCAATAAAAGATTTATTCTTCTTTGCCAGATTTGCTATGCATATTTTGTTTTTATGTAGCTTAGATAAAGTATGTGACAAGAAAACAATTTTAAAGGACATTCTGTAGAAAAAATATTCAGTTAAATCTCCATTGAGTAACAATGTGCAGTAGTTTAAATTGATTCTTTTTGCCTGTGAATTGTTACTTTTAGAATGTCTTTCCCATTAGCTATTATAAATGCCCCCTTTCATAAGAGAGAACTGAAAGCAATAAGCTATCTAACATGCCTTATTTAATTGGCTTGGTGGTGAGGATCTTGTTCACAAAATCTTACATCAGAAAATAAGTAACAACCATTTTTTAAAAAGAAGGTAGAAATAATATTAATTACTGATATTTAGGTCAAAAACCATATTTGAGACTAATTACGATGAAAATGCAAGAGTAACGTTCTAAAATATATTTAACAAATATATAAATATAAATTATTATAAATATAATAAAAGATATATTTTAAATTTTGATTGTCAAATATATTTTAGAATAGGGTTTCCCAAATTATGGGGTAAAATCCCCAGAGGGGTCATGGGAGTACATAAAAATTGTAAACTTTTGCAAACACTCAAATTTAATAAATTTAAAATGATAAAAAAATACATAATGTAAGCCTTCTGATGATGTGACGGAGGATCTGGGCAGCTGGTCATAATTCATGTATCTTGGCAAAAAGAAAAAGTGCTTGGGATAGTTTATCAAGAGGTTGATCAAAACTAAATACAACCAGACAACCTCATGTGTGAAATGCATTCTGTGAGCTAGGTAGTTAAATGTTTGAAAGGTGGCTATTAATTGCAAGAGTCTTTGTATCCTCAGTGGTCCATCTCCTAGAGAATGAAGCTAGTCCCCAGACGGTATTGTGTGTGTATAGGTATCTTGAGAAAAGTAGTTTGGAAAGTGGAGATAGCTGTTTTGGATCAGAGGAAACATGTTTACTTGCACACTGATCCCAATGTATGGGCTTAATAAGCAAGTCCCGAGGACATCAGTGAGGGAGAGTTCTGGACACAGCAAAGATTTGATGGTGCGGGGACAGCCAGAGAGGCTACCTATCTGGACATACATGATGAATACCGTATGTAGTTTAGCTTGGGAGATGTGTAAACCTGGGTCTGTTTTAACAAACAATTTATTTTTGTTTGTTAAAACAAAAAGCATATGCTCTCTGTATGTGTGTATATATATCTCCTCAATATATGTTCCATTCTATATGCATCCGAAGAAGTGGGCTGTAGTCCACAAAAGCTTATGCTCTAATAAATTTGTTAGTCTCTAAGGTGCCACAAGTACTCCTGTTCTTCTTTTTGCGGATACAGACTAACACGGCTGCTACTCTGAAACCAATTTATTTTTTATAATTTCAATTTCTTTTACTAATCTTGTTTTTATTAAAATTGCTATTGTATTGGTAACTTCACACAGAAGTCCTCAAAAAGAATTGAACTACATAGCTTCTAGAAAGAGGTTCTGAACGGTAAATAGTTTCTGGAATTTACACCCTCCACTTAGTCTCAGTTATGGGACATGGACAGAGGAGTCTACTCTCATTAAGTTGCGTGAACACCAGGCTGAAATGGATGAACTCAAGGGGCAAAGCCAAAAGACAAATGAGAAGATGAGAGGTGGAGGCAGGTGCATGTGTCTGATATTTTCCCCATATTGTTGCAATCTGGAACCCAAATATTGATTCAGTTTAGAGGGCTAGATGTAGGAGGAAAGTAACGATGTATCCCGTTAAGGCTACTGTACTGTTGTCATCTTGGAACCCCATCACATTTTATTGTAGCCTAGTGCATGATATAAGTGTTTACAAAACGTTCTAGACTTCTTTCTGAGATTTTTCAAAGGTGTCTAAGAGAGCTAGGCACTCAACTCCCATTGAATTTCAGGCTCCTTTGAAAATCCCAGCCTCTGCTAAAAACATTATTATGGGCAAAACAATGGGATAGCTGATTGGGATTCAATAAAGAACTGAAGGAGGGTAATATAATTAGTATAATTAATGCCAATCAACATGGGTTTATGGAAAATAGATCTTGTCAATCTAACTTTATCTTTTTTTGATGTGAGTACGTATTTGATTGATAAAGGTAACAGTGTTGATGTAATGCACTTAGACTTCTGTAAGGCTTGGTACCGCATGACATTTTCATTAAGAAACTAGAATGACACAAAATTATCATGGCACACATTACATGGATAAAAAAACTGTCTGACTGATGGTTATCAAAATGTAATTTTAATCGTAATCTATTGGGTGTGTTGATAGTGAGGGCTCCTCAGGGATCAGTTTTTGGCCCTATGCTGTTGAACTTTTTTATCAATGACTTGGAAGAAGACATAAAATCATTACTGCTAAAATTTTCCAGATGACACAATGATTGTGGGAATGGTGAAAATGAGGAGGACGGGTCACTGATTCAGGGTGGTCTGGATTGTTTGTAAGATGGGTGCACGCAAACAGTATACATATATTTCATTATGAACAGATGTATGGTAATACAGTTAAGAGCAATGACTTACAGGCCATATTTACAGAATGGTGGGAAGCAGTGATGGATAATCAACTGATCATGAGCTCCCAGTGTGATCCTGTGTCCAAAAGCTCTAATGCAATTCTTGGTGTATAAATAGGGGACTCTCGTGTAAGAGTAAAGAAGTTATATTACCTCTGTGTTTGGCACAAGTGAGATTGTTACTGGAATATTGTATCCAGTTTTGGTGTCCACAATTCAAGACATGTGTTGAAAAATTGGAGAAGATTCAGAGAAGAGTCCATGAGAATGAGAATCCATGTCATATGCTGATAGATTAGAGGAACTTAATCTATTTATCTTACCAAAGAGAAGGTTAAGGGATGACAAATATATGACATGTAGTTTTATGTCCTTTGATTCAAAACTATGGTATGTTCTGAAGTGCTGGCTGCCAAAGGTATGTAAACTTCTAAATGTCGCAACAATTTTGAAATCCAACTTCTGTCCCTGAAAGATGAACTTGAGGATTTTTTTAGACTTCCCTGTACAGTTGACATCTCAAGTTGTACACCCTGAGCAGCTACTAAATTGAAACCAATGTCTTTATTAAATAACATTGTTCTGTGCTGTATCAATCATTGCTGAGGATGTCAAAAGGCAACTGCTTTCTATCCCCCTATACCCCAGAATCATAACTTACCAGTTTAACTTGGTGAGTGAATTGAAGTCTGCTAATATAAAAGAGTAGTTCCTTCCCTCAAATAATGGGCATCTCCCAATAAACTACTCTAAGATAAGCTTTTCTTGAAACCAGCTGGAATCAAACTCCTGATGAACTTCAGGAATATGGTCTTCCTCACTTGCTAGGGCAGTAGTGCAAAGAGGAATTTCATAGAGTATCTCTCAGATGGAACTTAAGGCTATTGGATATGCCTTGAAGGAATTGCTCCTTTCCTTGTGGAATATGATAATTAGGAGGCCATGGCTTATGTTGCTGCCTCTTGCACTGTAAGTGCCTCCCTTTGATCATAGGTAATCAGGACTCTGTAGTAAACTGCAAGGAAGAACATTACAGTGTCCACCTCCTACGTGCATAGACATGCCAAGTGGATAAGCAGGAAGGATTCCTGCTGAGGAAGATGCTGCAAGATGTTTTTGTTTTTGCAGGCCTTTAATTCATTTTTTTTTAAAAATTCAGTTATTGATTACCACCATGCTCCTGGCATATGAGCATGTCTTTATTACTGAAGTTATTTGGAACCCAGGATCTCTTGAGTTCTAATCTGGATGTGAACATATTTTGAATGACGAATACAATTCAGATTTCTACTCTTGGCTATTCTCAAATTTTTTTAGCTAACTTAAATACTTTTGTAAAAAAACAAAATTGCATATCTGATATGAAATAGCAAAATAAAAGTCTAAGGGTTTCTCAGAGTTCAAATAAACTGTAGTAACAGATTCTTTTAATAAAATATTTCAGTATGTTTAGAAATATCATTAAAATTAGGTTCCAGGTGCTCTTGAGCAATAAATGAGTTGCCATGTGATTTTTATGGTGCTTATCATTTTACCTGATGCAGGAATTGTGTAGGAATCGGAGAGGTGTGTAAATGTTGAATAAAATCAGTGATCTGTGCATGTATAGTTATGTGTTAGTTATTTCCATCAAATCATTTTTATACACATACTGTATCAAATATGTCCCATAAGTGCTCTGAGTAGTATTCTACATAGACAACTGAGAGTAGAACGTGACCCATAAAGTATTGAAGTTTTAAAATGAGATCACCATACTGCTTACAAAATCAGGTCTTGCAACTTCCTCTCATGGACAAATCTAGACAAGCTTTTACTGAACGTTTAGAGAGAAACTTCTGCCTTTGAATGCTGACTGCATACTGTTTCTGATAAAGGTAAATTGAGGG